GAGAGAGAGAGAGAGAGAGAGAGAGAGAGAGAGACAGACAGACAGACAGAGTCCGAGTCAATTGTCAAAGTTTTACACAGACGTCACTTGTGATAAACGAATAATTAAAGAGTCAACTGCAAACGCGTGTATTTTCATCTATTTTGCAAGAGAATACATCTTCGGTACTCGACAAGTTTGGAATGTGTTTCCGCTTTAATTATATTTCTCATTTCTGCGTAGTACCTATTTACGTGAAGAATTGTGTCACCGCAAACTGTGTTTCGTTCTCTGATTCAATCTCATCCTAGATTAAACTTCGCGAACTCATTTTTTCAATTACCGCAATCCAATTTTATTCCGCCATCTGACAAGCCGCGTAAATGACTCATGGATTATTCAATATGGCCTGTGGAGCCAATCTCGGATCGAATATCGCGAAATATTTTTAAGGACACGACATTGAAATCCATTCCGACTTCGAAGCAATAAATACTCGTACAGATAACGCGAGAATAATCTTTTACTTGAACAAATGAAATGCAAAAATCAATACAAGATATACTTTATTCCTTTTTTCATTGTGTCCGTGATATTTATAGTATAGAAATTAAATTCACTGACATAACGTCGCGATAAAAGTATGAACTTTGGAAATTTGTTTCTATAACCGATACTCTCATCCACGATTCTGCGCGACATGGTGCGGCAAGAGCGGGTCGAGGTTCTGTGATTAAAATTGGATTTTCGTCTATTCTCGTCCGGCCGTCCCTGAAAGTCTTTGAGACATTGAATGTATTTATGTCATAGCCGTTAGAAGATTCTTTGCCTCTCTCTCTCTCTCTCGCGCGCGCGCGCGCGCGTACATCATCATCAGCGCTTTTTCACTCGATGCAAACGAGCAGCGCGAAACGATTGACATACGAGTAGGTAAGCGAATGCATACGTTCAATTCATCAATAAATATGTGTACCTATGTGTCAAACAAAAGAAAGATTAATCTGACGCAACGCGTTTCCGTACATAACAACTATCATCACATTAACACCGATTAATTTTTATTAATTTTGCAATTTAGAAATTATCTAAAAGTATTACGAGCTTTATACAATATTTCTCAACACACTTTAATCGCGATATATATTTTACTTTGCGATGAAGCACAGATTGCTTATAATTAAATATGTTTAATAATTAATAGCATAAATTAAATATCGATTTTTTTGAAAACAATATTTCAGAGAATGGCCACGACATGCGATTATGTTTTAAATTCATCGCACAGAAATTTATATAAGAACATTAGCGTATACAAAAGCGCATAATTAATAAGACGCGGCCACATGTAAACTCATTAAAACAATATCATAGGAATTTACATTCCCTTGGTGTTAAATGCTTTTATGTAGATCACTATGTGCAATAGCCTCATATATTTCGCAAATTACATTTTAAATTATCCTTCATACTGCGAGAACATTTTATAATTTATACTGCAGACCACGTGTGTCGGCGTGTCGTGGAAATTTTCGCAAGATACGATTTTCTCATAACAACCGACATGCGATCGAGTTAGCACGCTTATTGACAACAACGTCGTCTATCTCGCGGATCGACATGCGAATCGATTTTTTTTCTTTACCTTGATTTGATTCCTACCGTTTTAATTTGTTGCTGAGAGTTTGTCATCATAAACCACGCGACACTGGAGAATTTGAACAACATTTAACGCTGACAAGCGCCATCCGCGTCTGAAAAGTTATTTCTCTGCGTTGAGAAAAGCGAAACACATTTTCCCACTGCAATTCTAGAATTCCCCTTCAAACGGTCAATTTATTTGATTTGTATTCCTTAGTTTCAAGAAATAACATAATATGCACCGTGTATATAATTCTCCTCGTGACGTAAGAAGAAGGAACAACCGCGACGAAACAACACGAGTTCTCTGAGGTTACCTATTGAATCTACTATCTAAATGGATCTACGTCGAAGACGGAACGTGTGCGAAATGCAGAAAAAAAAAATTACGGCGCATAGATGCAACGCATGCACTATACTTCCAACGAATTTGCTCAACTACTCATTCATCGCATGCGAGGATTTTAACCAAAACCAGAGATGCAAACCGAACCGAAGTAGAAAATTAAATCACCGAAATTGATTGAATTATAGACTAAAATTCGATTTCGAAAATAAATTGCTTGAAGTAAAAAAAAAAACCATAAATTTAATTTTAACTCAGTTTTAGTTTTCTATACAATGTAAATTTCTCAATAAAGATTAAATATTATTACTATTAAATGTATACCGTTTTTCCTTATGTCTAAATCAAAACTACAACAAAAATTATTATTGAAAATTTTTAGAAAATAAAATCAGGAGAAAAATTTAAATAAGATTTTAAATTGTAATCGAAGTACTGGCAAAAAATATGTTCGACTTGTATCTCCGATAAAGATTCTCATCTATCTATTCATTCATCTGTCGAATAGAGGAAAAGGTCGACAGAGAAGGCGTGCCGATGCGTACACATGCGCGCAATTACTTTTTTTCTTTTTCTATACGACACCGGTAAGCGACCGGTTCGTGCTAGTTTATTTTATTGTTAGTTTCGTGTCGAATCGAGTTGAAGATAGGAAAGAGAGGGGAAGACAGTATCGAGCATAATTTCACGGACGCAATGAATATCGAGAGAGGAGGAAACATTACATTCAAGATGACTATACATTCAAGATTAAAGCTACACTTTATCATGTATGATAAAGATGTTTCATGTTCCACAAATACGACAAAAAATTTATTTTTTTATTCTAAAAGGCTATACTTATATTTAATCTATCACAAAAGAAATATTCAAAGAGATTCAAATTTAGATAAGAGAGATATTTTAAAAAAGTGCTTTTAAAGATTAAAATGTCAAAATCAATGAATATCGAGAAAGAGGAAAATAACTGTATACCTATACAAGATTAAAGCTACATTTCATTATGTATGCTAAAGATGTTTCGTGTATCGCAAATACTAAAAGAATTTATTTTTTGTTTCTAAAAGACTATATGTATACCTAATTTATTACGAAAGAAATATTCAAAGAGATTCAAATTTAAATAAGAGAAATACTTTAAGAGAGATAGAGAGAGAGAGAGAGATACTTTTAAAGATTTGACTAAAATGTCAAATCAATGAATATCGAAAGAGGAGAAAATTGTTGACTAGAAAAACAAGATTAAAGCTACATTTCGTCATTTATGATAAAGATGTTTCGTGTTCCACAAATACTAAAAGAATTTATTTTTTTGTTTCTAAAAGGCTATACATCTAATCGCAAAAGAAATATTCAAAGAGATTCAAATTTAGATAAAAGAAATACTTTAAAAGATGCTTCCAAAGTTTTGACTAAAATGTCTCTATTCGAATAAAAATGAAAATGTGTTTAACAGATGTAGAAAAAAAATAGAAATCATCTTTATACATACGATTCCTTTAACTGAATTCATAATATGCAAATTTTAGTTTTCCGTGTTCAGAACAAAAAATGAAAGCGTGAAACTTTCTCGAAAAAATCGATTCAATTAATTATATCTTTGTACAATTTTCAAAATTCATTTCAATGTGATTAAAAGAAAGTTAGATATTGTCTCTATAAGTAAAGAGACTTGTATACAGAGATAATAAAAGAAATTTTCAAAACATTAATTATCTATTAAGTAAACGTTTAAGAAAGCAATATCCTAATTCCCTCAGCAAGCGTTATACAAATACGCTTTCGTAGTTATAAAATCGATATATTCGATCGCAACATACAAACGCATACACCATATTTAAACTCGTGTGCAGGTTCATAGTTTGATAAATTCCACTTTCGCTACTTTTGTTTAAAACGCAATGTTATGAATAAGCCCCTTTTTATCATTACCATAAGAAAAGTTCCTAGTTTGATATCCACATTTATTATTCGAAATTTATCAATTCAGTGATATCCAATTTTTGTAGAATTATAGTTGATTCTAAATTAATACAAAAAAAAAACAGAAAATTTCATTCTGTTTTCAAGTGTACCTTTTTCCTGATTACTTTTCTGACCTAATAATGGCATCGGTCATTTCAGAAGAGCTACAAGGATCTTAAACGGAGGTCTTCGAGGAAGCAATTAAATCCGATGGATCACAATTGGATTAACAGACTTTGAACTCGGAGGAATAAAGCGATAAGCTTAATCTATCTTCAGCTTGAATTTTATTTCGATTTTCAACACTAGGATAAAAATTAAAATAATTTTTAATTAAAATTAACATGATGTTATTTAAAAAATAAACGAGTTCACACATCGTTTTGTTAAAGATTTCCGGGAACTATTGTAAAATGTAACGATGCAAGAATACTAAAAAATGTTACAAAATTTCGCTTTATTATCCTATTAATAAACATCAGAATAATTATCAAATCGGGTTCACTCATCGTATAGCAAATGTCAACTGTCATGAAGATGATTCATTTAAGGTCATAGAGGTTATTCAACTTATATACTGGGAGCGCAAAATTTTCAAAAGCGACGATTCAATTTTGATGATTCATGCAACGGATCATAAAAATCGCGTCGTGTATACATGTATACATTATATATAGGTATATATATATACATATATATATATATAGTACAAATACTTATAAATTACATATACATATTTAATACAAGGTACTTTATAAATTAGATAATATTTTATATTTATCTATTGAAGTTTAAAGCAAACAAATAGACAAAATTAGAGGCTGAATCGAATGAAAATAGTAAACTCACGCTTCAAGGGCAATGTATTGATTAGATAAAAATATCTTCCTTACTGACAATCAGAAATAGCAAAATAAAATAAACTGAAAAGGGAAATGTTCGCATTCATGAACCAATGATCATGTATATGTATAATCACACAACTTTCGACTTAATTCCGATCATCTTTAATTCTTTTCACGTTAAAGTGAATTTTTTCCATAAATTACATTTGTATTTGCAATCTCGTTTTATCGTCCTAAAATGTACATTTCGAACAGCCACGTGTGAGATCTTTCACTAAAATAACATTTTATTAGTCTGGAAATAAATGTAATAAGCTAAAGAGCCAAGCGGAAGCGAAAGAGAATACAAGAGACCTTCCAATTTAGTATCGAGCATTTTATTTCCAGATAGGACTTGCGCTCTGAACTGACGTCCCTTAAATATACCATGGATATCGATCCAGCCAATGGTCGAGTTTCGTTCCAGCTGAAAGCTGGTGTGCTATTCCGAGGATGTTACTCGGAAATAGCGGCCGAGTTGTCGCCGATATTACCCAAGTGAATCGAGGCAAATTAAAACAAATGGAATTAAGTCGGAAGTTAAATATCATTGACTTATCGAAAGCAAACATTTCTCCACCTGACAAGATCGATATCGGAAATCAGTGCATATTAATGATTCGATGGAGGAAACGCGAAAAAATCAATGGTGGTGACGTTACAAGGACATCAACGAAAATGAGACAAATATGAGGCCGAAATTCGATGAAAAATTCACCCTTTACCTCGTCGCGATCGATTCCCTTCAACGATGAGTGGCATCAACAATTGCCATGCGAGGCGTGTCGTGTGCGGGGGGGGGGGCAAGTTTGGCCGGCACATGATGTCGATCGAAATGTCAGGTGAACTGCAGATGAATCAACGAATAGAATGCTCCAAATACAATCATGTTATAATTTCGGCAATATATGTCCAAATATATGTTCAAATCCACAAAGAGGCAGGCCGCGAAATCGTTTTACAGTTGAACGAACTAAATAACTAACTATATTCTAGAGAAAGAAATTTTCAATTGTCATTAAAACTTTAACTCCAAAAAAAAGATAGCAAGACTTCCTTAATTGCACAAACAATTAAATACTGCAAATACTTGCGAGGAATCCCGTGCATCCAAGGGTTAAGCGCCCAATGGTCGAAGCAAACACAAGATAGTCGCTAAAATCCTGAACGATCCGGCTAATACCGGATGCCTGGCAAGGCTATCCAGAAAACAACCTATCTTGCTGTCCATCTTCACATACTTGTTTACGCGACTCTTTCATCTGGCCTACACTCTTATTCTATGTTTCAATTTGTATACATTGCTACCGAATTTCTAATTTTGTTTCTTCCAATTTAATTGTATTTATCCATTTAACTAATATTTCCTCTACCTTTCGTCGAAATACAAGCTACATCATCCTTTTTACGGCGCTTTCCACCGCAAACAATTAATTACGTCGTTTGTATGCTACTAATGACAGTGTTATCCCAAAACATGGGCCATAATAGGTATTCATATCTTGTAAGAGATACTAAACCACCTGACAATAGGCATGGAAAAAGATATCATTTAAAGAAATCCAATGAAACATGTCAACGTCTTTATTACCGCGCTTATTACCATAATGCACGCGTAATAGATAACGTCCAATAAAAAGTGGATAATTCTGATATTGCGGAAGAGTGATAAGAGATGCTCGTTACCTCGACACTAAGATATGGATGAATTCGTATAACTCAAACTCGATGTAACAGTTTAATTCTAATTGTAGTTATGTCAATAAGAGTAATTTATGTGTACGCCGAATTAGTAAATCCGTTACAATAAAACTAATAAAATTTGCATTCATTAACGATTTATCAAAAAGTATAAGTTAAATATATATGTATACAAATAAAAATAATTTCTAAAGAAGCTCACAAGAAATACTGCATTTCAAATATATAATAAGAAGCTACTATTAAGAAACTACTGTGAGACACTTAAAGATTTATTAATGCAATAATTAATTCTCTTCTATAAAAATAATAAAATCTTTAATAACTAATCGATCAAGTTTTTGCCACGGGGCATTTAGTTTAAAATAAACCAGATGTAAATTTATATTCAAGATGCTAAATTGTTGCAAAAGTTAGATTTAATTCTTATACAAATGTCCTGAAAATAAAGCCATACTTACATGAAAATACAAATAAAATAAAAAATTAAAAATCATTTCACGTAAATGCAGCGAGATGCAGCTCGTTCGCGGAAACGCGCATAATCCCAGCTGGCCGATTCGAGAGCGCTAATCTAAACGATCGATATGCGACACCGATGTTTGACCAAACGTTATTGGCGATTCAATGTCGCACAGCACCGCGAGATACGTCACGCGTGAATGACGATGATAATGGTGACAACGATGACGGTGATGATAAATAATCGAAAGGCGGAGAAGTCACAGGCCGAGAAATTTCAATAAATAGAAAACATCTTCGATTCG